TTGGAGTGTCGCAGAGGTGGCTTGAATCGTGTCTTCCGGACGATAGAGATTCAAGATGATAAGCCCCAGAAAAGGAGATCGAGGGCGGGTCTGACGGGGGGAAGAAGGGGAGAAGGTTAAGCTGATCAGTTGAATTAGACTCGGGGATCTTACTCGTGGGCGGTGAGTCGCTCAGATCCACGGATTCTCGATCCAATTCCATTTAAAGAAAAAAAAAAACAACAATCCGATTATATGTTGCTACTCTGATTAAGGATTCCGTTTGTGGTTGATGAGTTGTAGGCTGGGGATCTATTCAAACAGATCGTCCAGTGATGCTTTGAAGTTCAATAAATCGTGCCTATCATTATTTCTTCGGGGAAATTTTGAATTAACGCCTCGTAATGCTTAGTATCAGCCTTACATAAATCTGGTGCCCTGGGCATCCACCACTTCTTCAACCACCACGATTTCCCCTCTTAATCCCCCCCGTCGATCTCTTTCAGCTCTCTCCCTCTCTTCGATCCTGTCTTTTGATCTCGCACCGCAACCTTGAGGAGAAGTAAATCTTTCCTTACCCCTCTTCTTCCCGCAGTCCCTGTTTCACAGCACTGAATCTTCTTCAGTCGGTCCCTCTTGCCAAATCTTGACTTCGGCGCAACGGCTGCTTATCTCCATTGCCTCGTAAACCCCGATCTTTCCCCACACTTCATCACAGGCAACCGTCATTTTTCCTCTTCTCGTCACGGCCGACCCAAGTCTGCCAAGTTCCGATCTTTGTGTGAAACACTCGGGACCCTAAATCCTTGCCGCGGTGGTTCTGTCGTCGACATCTTCCAATGGCCTCAGGGGACGCCGAGCTCCCCCAGCAGGATGCCAGCCCGATCACCACCGAGCGGCCACCTCTGCCGCCCTTTCGCTGTGTGTGAGTTGCACTGCTTTGCTCGTCTCATCTTCCGAACCTGCCCTCAGGCCTGTCTCTGGCTTTCTTCAACCGTTCACTCATGCTTCCCGGATGCTCCTACATGGGGATACTGATTCACATCGACTTCGGAAATTAGTTCCACTCCTTCATACGAAAGTCCCCAGAGACATCATCGCCGGAACCCAATAGTCAGGCGTCCAGTCAAGGTAGGTCCTCGTTGCTCTAATAATGCGCTCTCATACGTGCTGTTTGATTACCGCTTATGACTACGCCTGCCTCTTCATTGTATAGCTTTTTCGCTAATCGTTGTTACCAGGAAACGCTGAATGCTCGATCCGAGTATTATACCAGCCAGGATGATGGCACTGCTGAGCACCGGATCAATCAATATGTGATCAAACAAGAGATCGGCAGAGGATCATTCGGAGCAGTGCATCTTGCCACTGACCAGTTTGGAAACGAATATGTACTTGCCCCTGCGCAACATCATCTCGGGTATCTCCTGAAGAAGCTGACCGAGAATGCACCGTTCAGGCTGTAAAGGAATTCTCCAAGGCCCGTCTACGGAAACGTGCGCAGTCGCATCTTCTGCGCAGGCCCCGAGGCCCTAAGCGTCCCTCAGATGGGTTCAACTCCCCACTGCATCGCCGCCCGCTGGGTGGGGATGAGCACAAGGAAAACGCTCTCTACTTGATCAAGGAAGAAATTGCCATCATGAAGAAGCTGAATCACAACAACCTTGTGTCTCTAATAGAAGTCCTCGATGATCCTACAGAGGACTCGCTATACATGGTCATGGAGATGTGTAAGAAAGGAGTGATCATGAAGGTCGGCCTCGAGGAACGAGCAGATCCTTATGATGACGACCAATGTCGCTGTTGGTTCCGCGATCTGATTTTAGGAATCGAATACCTACATGCACAGGGTATTGTACATCGCGATATCAAACCGGACAATTGTCTATTGACGAGTGACGACGTCTTGAAAGTCGTCGACTTTGGAGTGTCGGAAATGTTCGAGAAGGATTCAAACATGTTCACCGCAAAGTCAGCAGGTTCTCCTGCCTTTCTTCCGCCGGAACTGTGCGTCGTGAGACACGGTGATGTCTCAGGAAAGGCCACAGACATATGGTCTATGGGGGTCACACTGTACTGCCTTCGATATGGCAGGCTCCCATTTGAGAAGGCAAGCATCTTTGAGCTTTACGAAGCCATCAAGAACGACCCTGTTGTATGCGAGGGAGAGACCGACGAGAACTTCAAGGATCTGATGTTCCGAATCCTGGAGAAAGACCCGGCCAAGCGGATCACAATGGAGGAGTTGCGGGTAGGTGAAGCATGAACGTTGCCTTGACGCCATTATCTTACTCATAGACTGCATACAGGAACACCCCTGGGTGACGAAGAATGGACTTGATCCTCTTCTACCAGAGAGCGAGAACACCGCTGAGATCGTCGGTCTGCCCACAGAAGAAGAGATGAACTCCGCCATTACGAAAACTATTGGTCACGTTATGGCCGTGGTAAGTTGACAATCTCCTTCAAGATACTACTATCGTGATTGGTAAGTTTCAGGCTAACGATTACAAAAGATCAAAGCGGTTACGCACTTCAAAAGACTGATCGACCCGGCAAAGGCAGACCCGCCCATGCAGAGTATCCTTGGTCAAGAATACGAGACGCACTTTGTTGAGCCTCCAATGGAGATGGAGCCAGAGGAGAGCTTCACAGCCAGCGGCAATATGCCCATACTAAACAAGAGCCAGAGTCTGAACATGTATAATAGGCGACCTTGGGAACGTGATAACGTGTTGCAAGGCTTCCATCAGCGTCGCGACGATCTAATTCACAACCAGCTTACCGACAGCAGCGAGTCTCTCAGCCATCACAGTAAACCCGGACCTGCGCCAGGCAACAACGGCAGAAATGCTTCCAGAATGGAGCCTGAACGGAAAGATTCCGGGTCTATTCGCAGTCACAATATCGCCGGAGGGTCGATTGACGATTTCCAATCCAACTCCAACCCTCAGTCCCCGTCTCCTTTCGTCCCGCTATCCCGGGCTAGCTCGGTCACCACAAAGCGCAGCGTTGAAGGAACCCGTGGCCATGCACGTGATCCTCTGGAAGAGGAATTCCCGTTCCTATACATCGGACCATCAACATACACCGGCTCGTCCAACGAACCCAACATGGATACTGACACCGATCCCATCTTCGAAGAACCTGACACCATGATATCTGCCGAACCCGACGAGATGGACGTCGACGTATCCCATCCAATTGTAAGCGAGTCTCCCGGTGCCGCTGATTTCGACATCTACGAGACCGCCTATCGACAAGAAATTGAACGCATCCGGACCCGCACACTCCCCCGGCAAGGCACCATTCCCAAGATGTACCTCACCCGCCGCGTGGAAGGACGAGACGATGTGAAGAAACTCGTGGGACAACATAGCCCCGATTCACCTATAGCATCAGGCCGAAAGAACACAGGCCTAAGCCTGAGCTCTGCAGTTAGCGCCATCAGACTTCAATTGGAGCAACAACAGCGACAACAAGAATAAAAAGCACAGCAGGCTGCAGAGAATCAAAAACCGGCCCCACTTCGCCCATCTGCGCCATCTGCCTCCGGTGGCATTCCGGAGCCAGTCGCATCGTTGTCTGCGGCGGCTGGTACCACCACGACTAGTGCCCCTGAGACATCTAATCCATCAGATATCTCCTCGACAACCAGATTAAGGTCCTTGCTTGATCGGGTCAGGAGTAGTCAGGACCCGTGATCGAGAGAATGATGGGAGAGGACTGCCCTGGGTATAGGTCGACAGCGGGCAACTACGGAGTCATGTCTAGTATAATAGAAAGGGGATTATTATTACCGTTGCATGCAGCAGCCAGAAGGAAGAAAAATACCTGGCGACACATTCATTCCCTACTGTACTTATGTCAGATAATAGCATTTCTGACAAGCTTAGATATAGCAGTGTAATGCAAAATCCTTAGAACACTCGGTATGAACAATAATCATGCAACGAGCAACCACCAGCCAGCCACAGGCTCGACGGCGGCCCAAACATATTACGATGCACAAATATTACAGTAAAGCAGTGCTAGAGCTAGAGATATTACATCTGACGTCTACGCGTTTGGAGCTGTGCTTGATAGTGCTTGCTCCTCTTCAACTTCTTTTGATCCTCTGTTCGTCTTTCTCCAATATGGCACGATGACCTCTTGAAGAAAGAGCTGAAAAGCTGTACATATAACCTTGTCAAGATCTGATCACTAAAGAATTAGTAATTATACAATATATTATGTCCTGACCATAGAAGAACCACGCGCCCAGAGACAGCGGAGAGGGTCAAGGCAGAGGAAGAGGAAGAAAAGCTGGCTAGTGTGGAGAAGAAGCCACAAACGGAAGAAGAGAAGAATGCCAATAAGGGAGACATGAGGGGAGGGAGAGAGATAGAGAGCACATGATGCAAGGCAAGGAAGTTAAGCCCAAAACAAGGAAAGTCAATATGTCACGTCATATTCATGAAGTTCGTATGTATGGAGACTTTGGAATAGTGCTCCGAAAGCCCGATGATGTGTGCAAATTTCAATATGCATGGAAGATCATCAACTCAGTGCATCATTAAGGTGCATGTACGCATAAGGAAGGAGAAAAAAACGCAGGAAATTGATCAAGGAAAGTGGACCAATCAGGCTTTTGGTGACGAGGTTGACCGACTTTTGCACAGCTTCAGCCAGATACGCGCAAGTTAAGCCAGCCCAGAGAAAGTAAAATTGGACATGTCTGTCGGACGCTTCAACTCGGTCATAGGGATATCGATCCGCCAAGCATGAGCGATCAAATTGTCCATCAAGCCGCCCCGCCGAAGAGCGGGACCCCGATGCGCAATAATGTGAGATGGGAAGAAGAAGAAAATAACGTATGAAGGATGTGGCGCTCATTGCCTTGCTTCCTTTACATTCCGATTTGCTTTTCTGGTGAGGGATTCCGAACCAATGCTAACTATCGTTCATATTCAATGTTGTAATTCGTCCGTCATGCCATGATAAACCGGGAAATCGGAGACGCTGTGTGCTTATTCTTCATGTCATTCCGGCCTATTCTCTGGTGGTTTGGATATGGGTAGATCGGAGGCTGGTGTGGGCGGTTCATCTGGATATCTGCTAGTAGGATGTATGAGACTCCTCCGGTTGCTTTGTGAGAAAGGATGTCTGTCCGGTGGGAGAGGCTCAAAAGGCACCCCCGGTTCCCGTCGTATGAGTGGTGTATCTCTATGACCTAAATGTAGGGTTCCGGGTGATGGCAAAGTCTGTCTCAAATCCGGACGCGGTAGCTCTCGCATCGAAGAGCCTATGTCTTGATTCGGCATATCCCTTGGCCGCTCGTCGCTACTCGGTCCCATCAATGGAATTGGTCTCCCCGGCGGAGGAACGTAGTGCATTTCATGTCGTGGTAATTCCGGCGGGCGACTGCTGCTGGCCTGGGGCGAAAATGACGGCAACCCTGGTGCGACTCCGGAGGGACTAGTGGGCGTAGACGAAACTTTCAGCTTGTGAGATCCAGACCGCCGTGGGGGTGGATACGTTTCTCCACGAGCCTCAGCAGCTGCCTTGCGCCGTTCCGATTCGGCCTTACTAGGCCGTCCACGCTTCCGTGGAGGCTCTCCTCTGGCAGTGACGCTCTCCGAACTTGGGGACAAGAGGGCCGAAGCTCCACTTTCGCTACTGTAAGAAGCGGTGCTCGTCGCAGGGCGTGGTTGTATCGCACGCGGGGCACGAATTGCCCTGTCAGAAGGAATTAGGGGCCTCTTGCGCAAGACGCTACTGCTTTCTGAGGGAACGGTTGCTGGTACGGAGGGTTCATGGGGTTGCGGGGGAATCGAGCCGAGGCTGTGAGTGACGGATAGTTGAACATGTTGCAGCATGTTACAGAACGCTATTTGACAGGAATTGAGGGAGCGACCTGGACAGAATCGGATCAGCAATGCTAAGTCAACCATCCAGAGCATGAAAGGCTGTCCTCGTACGCAGTCAATGCGAACAGGAAGTGAGTCGCATTAACTCAAACTGCCCGGGGCAGAGGACAAGCGGAAGGTGCTGGCAGATCTGTACCTGGAGGAAGGGGTATATCCGCCCAGCTTGGGGTAATGTTGAAATCCCTAATCATTCTGACAAGATGGCTCGAAGGCACTCGGGCCTTCTTCAGAATCTCCGTAAGCAGAGTGTACTAGAGCCAGCCATACCTCCGTCAGCAAAAGCACCGGTAATTGCGACGACAGAGGGACTTCCATGCCCAAATCTGTCGTAGAAAGAGGGGCGAGGATTGGTGGCCCTACCTTCTCCTCCTCAGTCCATGGCCTCTCTGGTTGATTCGACATAGCCAGCAGACCATGGAAGTATAAGGAGGCGGTTTACCTGCTTGATGAATGACCAAACACACGAACCGAATGTAAAACCGATCCCAGAATCTAGACTGGAAGCAAGATATAAAGAGTGACGCGTCACGCGACTACGGATGTAGAACAGTCAAGAGCAAAGCACAACGCCAACCAGGTCGACACGCACCAAGCACGAATCGACAAGGGACCGAAGAAACGATAACAAGAAAGCAGGGAAACAATAAAAAAAAAAGGAAGAACAGAATTTGCCACGGAGCCTCCCAAACGGAACGATGCGTCTACACCAGTAAGTGTATCAACACGTGGGTTCTTAAATAGAGATGCAAAAGCAAGCTAGGAGAGCAGCGAATAAATGTCAAGAAAGAGGAAGAGGGTCAAAACAATGGTCAGCAAACGAATGAAAGGAAGATGAGCCGATGCACATCGGTTGAATAGCAGACATTGAAAGTCAAATAATCGTTCACTGAGGTAGTGGAACACATGAGAGATCGCAAGGGTAAAAGCAAGAAGACGGCGTAAGGAGAGGCTATAGAAACAAAACAACCCAGTAGGAACACCTCCGAATGGATAACAGTTGCCTCTGCGATTCCAGGCCACCGCGTGGAACAAAGGCTTGGGAAAGTTCCAAAAGGAGGAAAGAAGAAGAAAACAAGGGGAATTAAAAAAAAAGAAAAAGATTTAAAATCAAAAGCAGAAAAAAAAAGGGAACGGAGATAAAAATAAACGATGGAACCAAAGTGGATCGTGGCCCTAAGAGAAAAACGTCAGGGCAGTTGGCTGCCGTCGTCGCTGGAGATCGAATGGATTTCTGGAAAGAACAGTTTCAACGGTGCATACTGGTACCACCTCGAGGGTGAAAACGAATGTAAGAAGAGGAAAAGGGGGGAAGAGAGACGCTCGACCAGTAGTGAGGTAACACCGTACCCTCTCAAAAACGTTTTCTAGCCAAACGGACTTTTTAAGTCGGGGCTGCGCAGGAGAGCACTGGTGCAGATGCCAGACATGCGGCCGGTAGGCAAGAGGAAGGCTGCAGGGACTCCTATTCTTTAGTTTCCCCTCTACCTTGCGACCTGCGACTTTTGGAGAGTCGAAGACGAGAAGAGAGCCACAATGGGTCAGAACTTAAGTGACCCGAATCAAGGACAGCGGACCCCAACCTGCCAGAGAGGGACTAGACCGGAAGCTACCGAGAAAAGGATAGTGTTTCAAGAGCGATGGTTTCAAAAATGCCATCAAGTGTCGGTGGCATTCGCAGCAGAGGGGAAGGGGAGAGGGGGGAGGGAAGCCAACCGCACGCTCAACCAGGAGGGGCGCGTTAGCTCTGGAATTTCCAAGCCAGTTCGAATAAGACCAGGAGGGGTGCCAAAAAGCAGCGAAAGGCTAAAGATGCATGAAAGCTGGGAAAACGATGTAAACCCGGACGGGTAACAAGAGCAGGGGGGCCACAAGACCAAAACCGACTCGGCGTGAAGAAGCAATGCAACAACAACCTGCGGCTACTGCTGTACGCCCTGGCTACGAAATCAGACAAAGTTAAAGTCCTGTGCACTAGAAAAGGGGTGGATAAGTTGAGAAGACGATAGCAAATGAGATGAGAAGTAAAGGAATAACATAAAATGGGGGGGAAATAATATAATAATAATAATAATAATAATAATAATAATAATAATAATAATAATAATAATAAAAATAAAATATAAGGAAGAAAATCGAAGAGGATCGTCTAGGCATATCCAGGAAGGCAAGACTTGCCGCCTCTGGGTCAAGAGGCGTTCCTCTGGGGCAAAAAAAGACCCTCTCACGGGACGCAGCGCGTTCTGACGGTACATGATGGGCGACAGGCGATTGATGATGAGTGGGTACGGGCGCCCCAAGATGTTGGGTCAATGGCCTGGAATCGACAGGTTGCTCAGAAATGAAGGCACTCTTCGCCTAAGGGAACGAGGTTCGGGGTTGGGGCCCGGAAGTAGGTAGTGCGGTCGATCCATCCCGACAGCAAATTGTCTCTTGTGTGTCAGTCCGTGTACTGTAATGCATACAGTTACAGGAAAATGCAGAAGCATGCATTGGCCCTATTCACGATAGTGGGAATGCATCCGGCGATGACTGGCAGAAAAATGATAGCAGCGGAGGTGGTTGATAACCGCAGAGTGGGGGTGTTGGGCTCCGCAATAGGCGCGGACGAGAGCAAAATCCTGGAGGCTGGGTAGAGAGGATGGATCCCGTTAGTGCAGAAGGCGATTGAACGAAGGCTGCAAGGATGTTCCGGAACGGCCAGCCCAGACACTAAGCCGTCTGACTGGATACTTCCAGTCCACTCACAGTATTGCTCATCCTGTCTAGCATCGGAGCAGATTGAGTGTATGGTCCAGAGATCATGTTGGCCATCTGGATGAGAATTCTCTTCGGAAGCTCAGTAGCATATGAAAAAAAAGAAGACCGACTCATGATAAATGAGAGTCAGGGAACAAGAGGTAGCTGCCGGCATTAGTATGGATTGTTGCGCAGAAGCAAATTTTGCGGTCGTTCTTCTCTTCCCGACTTTTATTTTCCTTCTTTATAAATCCGATTCCACAAATCGCCGTTTCGATTTATTTTTCACCATAATTTTTTTTGTCGACCAAATTGGTCGGCACGGCGGGCGCTCAGGGACAAGAAAAATAAATCCATCGGTAGGAGATGAAGCAGACCAACCAGCCGACAAAAGCCTTCCCCCACAAGGCAGGCTGGGCTCATACCACCGCGCTTGTGAACTCGCTAGACGGGCTAGTACTATACAGTACATCGTCAGGTCATCGTGGTGACGATCTAGGCAATGTTGCCGCTGATTTTCATTTGACGGGTCGATTGTCGGAAGGTGGCCAACAAGTAAGTATTATTAGTAGCAATGCGAGAAAGCAAAGTGGTCTGTCTGCACCTGTGCATCGTAACATCGGATCGAGACAGACAATGGCCCATGCACGAGAACCATGCAGGAGTAGCAAAGCCCCGCCAACATGAATCAACCGTCAGACGGTAGTCCACTATAGTCCTGCATGGACAGGTTGTCACTGAGGCCGATGGGTTTCCCACCGGCTCTCTTCGACCTTCCCCGACGAGTCCGAATCACGGTCGTTTATGGCCAGGAATGAAAGACAACCGTATCCATTGATCAACGGACCGTAATGGAGATGAGCGGGGGTTTCGAGGTGTGAAATCGACCAAGAGCACGAAGCACATCGCGGGAAAGGGGGAAGATCGAAACAAAGGGAGTTCCGAGACGAGGAGGACTTGCCTTTGGGGAATGGCAGAGGGGCCTGTGGCGCAGTCTGTAACCAATTAACCGCTGACCGTACCATACTACGATAGTACCAAAAACTACCAGTAGGAAGGGTAGAACCTTCCGGCAACCAGGTAAGCTTACCCTACTTGGCCGCTGTTTGGTTTGGTAAAAAGCCAGCACTTCGGTACCCGCCGCGGAGGTACCGGTGACTTCCTGGCAGGCGGGAACATTGTGGCAGACCCACACCTCAGGTACCCGTAGCGCTTGTAACTAAAGGGAATTCCAGACTGCGGTAAACGCTGGCGAGGGCTTGGAAAACTTGCGGTGCGTAAAATCGTGATGATTTTTATTTTTTTATTTTTCATTTTTACTTTTCTTTCTTTTTTTTCTTTTTAAGATGAAAAAATATGTCCGATTGATGAAGAGATTGACTCGAAATGATCCAAATGTATGGACTTGATCTATTAAATTTTTATAATTTACTACTTATTATGTGCTTGCAGTGTGTATGTCGAAGTAGTTTATCATTTAGTCTCTCAATATTCGAGACTCTTGGATCTTGTCTTAGCAAGTTTGACCCATGTATGGCGCTGATGCTGTTCTTTGCACACTAGGCGCCCTAGTAGGTTAATTAACTTCAGACCAACGTATCTTCACCCTCCGCCAGGGATGTCCATCGTGGTCGTAGTAGTATTTCTTAGTATTCTCTTTCCTAATATTAATAATACTTTGTAAACTCGGGCTACAAGAATTGCTCCTCCGTATAGCTAGTGCTCTTTCTATGTACGTGTGTATGTGGGCGTGCGTATATGCTTTAGTGTCTGTGTTCTCTTCACCGTCTGGTAGTATAGCGGAAAAATTCATCTTAATTCATTCAAAGATGCATGACTAGTTAAAGTTTTCGAGGGAAGTATCTAGCATGTAGTTTTACCTTCCTGAAGAAGGCAACTGATGATATCCACCAGAGAGTATTTGTGTGGAAGAATTGGCCTGCGCTTAGGTGCAAGATCCATGTTCTAAGACGGTCTGCCTCTTCTGCGCACAGATGTGTCTTCTGACAATCCACCGATACTCTGCATTAGTTAGTTAAGTTAGTCGATTCCTACGCTTATTCATTAAGCCCATCACGGTTTCACTTCGGTTTTCTCCGTTCCCTTCTCGTCTTACACACATTCCTTTTTTAATTTTTACATTAAGTAGCTACTATTTGTAATGATGATGATTTCTCATCCTTTTCTTTTTCTATAAGCCCTAAAATAAAAAGCACCCGGGGTTCTGTGTTAGAGGACGGAATTGGCCCTAAGCAGCGATGAAATGCACGCATGTGGAGCGCATACCATAATCCTCGGCTATAGGTATCTGCTATCTCGCTATAGTGTGCCGTGTACCTAACGGGGTACACGTAGGCACAACTCAAGGCCTGAACATCAGTGCTGGTGGGTTTGCTCCGAAAAAGGTACCTATCATGGCTGTTGAAACCCAGACAGGTACTTAGGAGGTACCAGTTACCTCGGAGGCTCTCTCTCTGGGTGTGTGTGAAAGTAAACTAAGTACTCTCTGAAATGGCCCCAACACAATTCTCCCCTCATCCTAGTTATAACAAGAATGTTATAATACCATACAATACTGGTAGTCTAGTGTAGTACATACACAGACAGGCCAACTCCCTCTGCGGTAATCCAACCCACTTCTATCGAGGCAACACCGGTTCATGCATGGTCATATCCTGATTGTCATGGCTTCAATTTCCCATCATCCCGTCTTACGTTTGACTGGATACACAAGCTCTGTATCACGATTCGCTCTTCCCTCTCTTTCCCTTACCTTAAAATGCTGAAAGGCTGGGGATCACTGCCAGGTCCCATGGTTCAGACGAAGGTTTCACAGAAAGAAAGTTCAAACTAAGCACGGACTCCGAGAAGAATGGGAGCGTTCCGTCCGGCGTGGGACGGCCTGCATCTTGGAATCTCGAGATCAGTCCAGTCATCCAGTGAGTTCTCCTCCGTGCTAGGTCCGTCCCTGCTCCGGATGGAGATTCCGTGTACCTAGTGCTGCCATTAAAACGGTAGTGATCCCATTTGACTCCATCCATCCGGCTAAGTCTACCTGACCACCACTCATTTTGAACTCTGCTACGCTACCTACGGAGTGCATATACTTCCTGCCTGCATTTACCCAAAATGCGATGGCCTCCTCCAATCGCTAGCCGCCCCGAACCACGTCAGTCTGGAAGCACGGTAGAAGAATGCTCCTGAATTCGACATGTCGTCCAGTACAGTCATTGCGTTGCATCCTAATGCTTCTCTTGCAGATCCTTCTTTTTTACCTGCGTTCTCCACTGCATGTGAGTCCAGTACACCGGCCGTGGTATCCATGTTGCCATTTGATCTTCCGTCCGACCACCTAGCCATTGGATGGGAGGATTAGGAGAGGGAGCTGCATGGCCAGGCGGACCCCTAGCCCTAGTCTTGGTGATTTGGGCGTCTCGTGGCCTATGATTCTGACTCCCGCATAAGCGAACCGCAAGTTGGTTGGAGGACAGTCTCTCCGTCTCCCCATCTGCAGGTGCCGGTCGTCTTAGCTTTCACGCGCTCTTCCTGCTTCATAACTACCCGGTGCCCCGTCCTCGGAAGATGCGACGGGAAGGTAGCTGGACTTGAGATGGTACAGTAAATCTGTATCTCCCAGGATTACGAATCGCAAGTTCCCTCCTGTGCTTTGACCTACGATGCCTTCGCTTTGTCTTGCTGGCCTGTCATTTTCCCATTGATTGTAGTCCGTTTCTGCAACCCCCGTTTTCTCGGTCGTTGGCTTGAACTTGGCCCCGAATGCAATGTCCAGGTCTCATAACTCCATTGAAAGCCAGCTTTGCTTAGAAAGAAACCATTCCAAGTGCTTCTGCTGACACTCTGATTTCTGCAAAGGTATCGCAGAGCCGAGTATATACTTAGGGACTATGATAACATGGATTGCCTACCAGATATGCCCCGTCCTAGCACCATGACACCGTGAAGCCGAGTGCTCAGATCTTAATAACCCCACGATAGCTACAGTATTGAACAACTCCCAACTGCAAAGAGGTTGAAAGGGCAGAAAAGACCACATATAACAAGTGACCGTTAGTGGACCCCGAGTCAAACATGGGTTGGTTTATGCTAGGTCGATACTCGGTTAAGATCAGTTGGAATGCAAACACTCTCTCGCTGGGATGATAACACGCGTCGAGCACCCACTGTCTCGTCTGTGAAAGCGATGTATTCACAGAGGATGAGAACAAAGGTATAATTCAATGCGTGTTTAACCCCGCATTCTCGATTAGACCTTTTGTGTGCTTTGAAAGAGATATACCGACAGTGAAGGATTATTGTCATGATCTAAATGGGCGGGTGTCGGGTTTGTATACTGAGCCACCGGATTGTTGAGTCGAGGTGAATAGATAATGGACCGCCATGGCTTAGAATAGAATGACAATAACATTGAAATGAAAGACTCCCAATTTCTCAGTCCTCTCTGTAGGCTATTCCCGGCTAACACTGGGGTGGTCGTGAAACCTTGCTCTCGACCCTTTCTAACCTCGAGGTATTCTTGGCACCCGCGGAAAACGTGGGCGATGCTTTGACTTGCGACTTTCTTTCTGGTGGTTAAGTTCTCGTCGAATTATTCTGCCAGTCTTTCCTCATCGCTTCACTTTCCCTTCTTTGCTCTCTCTCTTTTTATTTTTCATTTCTCCTTCCGCCCCCCTTCTTTTAATTTCACCATTTACCTTTTTTCTTCTCTTTTCTTCTTGTCTTCCACCAGACTGGAACTGCAACCACAACGACAACTTTCTCGCGCGGTCTCCGATCTAGCCTAGCCACAGCGCATCTCCCACCGGGCACCGAATAAGTTGCGCGCTCCGTCCGTGTCGTCATGTCCCCTCATGACTACGCGGACCATCAATCAGAATCTGTCGCAGATGCGGTGACCGCGATGAAGCTGGAGTCCGACGCAGCGCCCGAAAATTCAGCCATGCCAAACGGCGGAGGAGCCATGATCAAGGATGAATCGTCAAACGCGGCCTCCAACGCCTCCCCCGTCCCGACCCCAAAGGCAGAACGATCCCGATCTTCTTCTCGAGCCCCGGTGAAGAAGGAAGAGAACTACGAAGACGACGGAAGCAATGTGAAAGGGGCGGAGAACAATCATGGGGACAACGTGGAGGAGAAAGTCGGAGGCGACATTATTGTCAAGCTCGAGCCTGGACAGCCTCCCAAGTTAACACGGAGCTCTTCCCAGAAGGTTGTTCCACGGCCACCGCAGTTGTTTGCCCATCTGCCGGATAGCACAGCTGAGGCTCAAGCGACGTTTGACTTAATGGACGCATGCACGTACGCCAATAAGTACATGGGTTATACTGAACATGCGATGGAATGCGATTGTGCTGAAGAATGGGGTAAGTTTTTACTGAGATATCTCCTGCGCTGTCTGTCTACTCAACCTCGCCGTCACTGGCTTCATCGTTTGGCTCCTACGCGTGGTGGCGTTCCTCAAACCCATCTTGAGAGGGGGGTGGGAACTGCCACTTGGTCTACGCTCCTGCCTTATTGTTTATTTTCTGTCCCTTCCCTATTTATTTAAACACTCTGTTATTTCACGTTGTTATTTCGATACATCTCCCCCTTTTCCTTGGTTGTTGGTTTTTCATGTCTGCGTTGTTTTGTGTGTCTTCCCCCCACCTACGGACCTAATTAGTTAACCCATGACCAGAACCGTCGGTCTCCAAAAATCTGGCATGCGGTGAAGACTCAGATTGCATTAACCGCGCGACCAAGATCGAATGCATGGGCGATTGTGGATGTGGGCCAGAGTGTCAGAACCAACGATTCCAGCGAAGGGAATATGCTCCGGTGGCGGTGATCAAAACGGAAAAGAAAGGGTTCGGTCTCCGGGCGGAGGCTGACCTGCGACCGCACCAATTCATCTTTGAGTATGTGGGCGAAGTCATCAACGAGGGCCAATTTCGGCGCCGCATGAGACAGTATGACGAAGAGGGAATCAAGCACTTTTATTTCATGTCCCTCAGCAAGGGCGAATTTGTCGATGCGACCAAAAAGGGTAATCTTGGCCGCTTTTGCAACCATTCGTGCAATCCCAATTGTTATGTCGACAAGTGGGTCGTTGGCGAGAAACTTCGCATGGGAATCTTTGCTGAACGACACATTCAAGCTGGGGAGGAACTCGTCTTCAACTACAATGTCGACCGCTATGGGGCAGATCCGCAACCCTGTTACTGCGGCGAGCCTAACTGTACCGGCTTCATCGGGGGTAGAACTCAAACGGAGCGGGCTACAAAGTTGTCGAATGCTACCATCGAAGCTTTGGGTATTGACGATGCAGACGGCTGGGACACCGCCGTTGCGAAGCGGCCACGCAAGAAAAAGACGGGAGAAGACGATGAAGAATATGTAGACAGTGTGCAGCCCAAGTCCTTAGAGGAGAATGGCGTGACCAAGGTCATGGCGGCGCTCATGCAGTGCAAGGAGAAATGGATTGCGGTTAAGCTCCTGGGACGAATTCAGCGCTGTGATGATGAGCGAGTCCGGAATCGGGTGGTGAAAATGCATGGATACCAGATTCTGAACTCCCAGCTGGGCATGTGGAAGGAGGATCACAACGTCGTTTTACAGATTCTCGACATTCTAGACAAGTTCCCTCGTCTGACGCGGAACAAGATTATCGACTCCAAGATCGAGTCTACCATCCAACCACTGACCAGCTGTGGTGATGAGCGTGTGGAGAAGAAGTCAGCCACCTTGCTGCAAGTCTGGTCGACCCTCGAGGTTGGTTATCGCATTCCACGCATGAAGAGAGATCCCAATGCCATGACGCCAGCCGTTAATCAGTTCGGGCGGCGAGAGAATACTCGGGATGAGCGACGACGGTCAAAGTCTCGTTCCCGATCGAGGTCACGGTCTATAGAAGCCCCTCGCGGGCCAGCTGCTCAAACGCGAGGCGGACATGGCCAGAGAAATCCTCACCATCATGGTCCCCGACCCTTCCGTCGACAATTCAACCCCCTCCCGCCAGGATGGTTCCAAGCGGAATCAAATGGGAGAACCTACTATTACTCCGCTCGCGGGGACACTACCTGGACACGACCGACAAAGGCCGCTCCTCAACCGCCGCCGGCCCCGAAAGAATCGAGAGACAAGGCATTGCAGGATATCATCGATGGTATCATGAACGCCAAGGAGAACACACCAAAGGATAAGAGCGGAACTCCAGCTACACCACAAACGTCTAGACCAACACCGGATATGAAGGATGGTCAAGAAAAGTGGAGGTCATATAGCGAGGAGAAGCGAAAGAAAATCTATGAAAACACGGTGAGTAGTACAGTGTTTGAGGGATACGACACGAACGGCGTGCAAGTACTGACGGTGAATAGCTCTATCCCCACGTCAAGTATGTGGTGGACAAGTTCAAGCACAAACTTCCGAAAGACGACTTGAAACGCTATGCCAAAGATGTGAGATGAAACCTCTCAAAGCCTCTACAGAAGAATAGTCGAGCTAACGAATTGTTGTCGACACAGGTGGCTAAGAAACTGGTAAATTCGGATTTCAAAAACAACCGTGTTGGGGACCCTACCAAGATCGATGACAAGCAGCAAAAGAAGGTGAAGAAATTCTGCAAAGAATTCTTCGACAAAGCTGTCGTCAAGCACCGCGTATACGAACAACGGAAAGCAGAGCGACAGTCGAAGGAGCCAGATTCGAAGCCCAATGACGCGGCAGCGGAGGCTGTCGAGGATGACGGTCTGGACGTAAAGATGTCTGACGATGAGGACGATCGGGTTCCAGCACAGGATGAGGAGACGCCTACGACCATGACAGACGAAGTGCAAGGCCCCTTGAAACGTAAGAGAGAAGATGAGCCAAACACCGGTGATGGAAGCACAACCGAGTATACTACCCCGTCTTCGTCCAAGCGACAACGATCCTCCACGCCGCCACCACCACCCCCTCCTCCCATGAGCCCTGGTAACGAGCAAGGCCAAAGTGGCGAAAATGGGAATATGAAGAGCGATGCAGATGAGCCCACTCCTGCGGACAAACAAAATCTTGGCTCTCCTCCGCCTCCTCCGCCTCCTCCTCCCTACCCTGAACAGGAGATGGATACCAACAACAATCATTTCAGCCCCGAAGATGGCGTGAAGGAGCTAAACCCGACACATATTGGCATCGAGGGACGGGTATAGCATGAGGAACTCCAGCCAGCTAGTAAAACCAAAGCTAGCCAGCTGATATCCCCACCATCCATTCCAACCCAAGGGGGGAGTTCCAGCATCGGGTCTGGTGTTCTAGGAGTTCGACTTGACTTGATATGATATGACTAATTGGCTGCCATTTATTCTTAGCCCTCCTTCTATTATTTTCCCCTTCTATATTCCCCAATACCTTAAGGGGATTTCGTCCGGAGAGCATCTGGTTCGTTTTGAATTGATCTGATCTGATCTGACTCGATTTGGCCGTTCATCTTATTACTTGTGCCATTCTTCCCCTTGTGCTATTCTATTTTTACTATATTCTATTCCTTCCCTTCCAGTTGCTCTTTCCTTCTCGTCTGGGTTTTCTTTTATATCTCTTTTTCTATATTTGCATTCCTATCCCCTTTTATTATCACTTTTCCTTGTTCAAACATGAATACCCCCAATTCGTACCCGCGATAGCTATGATGATTGCATACCTCCCGGTCTTAGAGGAGAGAGAGAGAGAGAGAGAAAGGAAAACAACAAAACGTACTCAATCAACAAGGACATTTCATTTCTTTTTAGGTTTTGTTGACGAGAGAGTGAGGGAGAGAGGATAAGTAGGATCATGAAGTGTCTTACTAAAAGCACATATCTATATCTATTCTTTTACCACTTCTAGATGCACCCATACGCAGTAGTGATTAAGTGTAGTGCATACATGCGTGTACAAATATATACCATCATCATGAGTTGATATGATGCTAATACTAGTTAATCCCATAATAAGTAGTAGTAGACCATGATTCCAAAATTGGCAGTTAGCATTCTCTCTAAGCTCCCTGGTACTTAAACTTACTTGGTCGTCCTTTACCCCCCCCCCCCCCCCTCCAAACACACACCCATTCGACTAAACAAACTTCTACTTCATAGAAACATGGACAAGTCAATTCAGATACAGGTAGTAAGTACCTCCCTCACCTGAGATATTTTATTGATAGTGACCATACATAGTAGTTGAATTACTCACGAAGGTATTAATTTTCTTTAATATCTTGTGTACGATGTGGCGCGGAATGGAATCATATGTGTCTGGTTTGTTGGTTTTCTGTATTATGTATGTATGTTATGTATGTGTTTGCTTAGTTCCATTTACACTACGAGGATGATATAAATAAGAGGTTTTAGGGAGAATAGTGTCCAGTCAGTCCACACAAATACACCCCCGGATATTCTACCCATTCCATTCATTCATAGCACAATAAGGATATTCATGTATGTTCGAGAGAGGCAAAGAAAAAAGAAAACGTGAAAAAAAAGGGAAAAAGGCGTAAAGGATAAAAGGAAGAAATTCCTCTAGTAGAAACTCTCCACGATACTCTCCTTGTTGGCGTTACCCATGCCAACACCACGGGGACCCATCTCACCCAGACGGAAGACACTTTCAATCACACTCAACTCCGTGGCTGTCGTGTCCAGACCCGTGACAGCGAGCCAGTCGTTCACGACCATACCGGCACCGACGACGGGGCTACCGCGGTTGACACTACCAGCGACGAGGGGCACTTGCAGGAGGGAGGAAAGTTCATCCTGGTCACGGATGGAGGTCTTGGGGTGGACGATACCACCTTGGTTGGAGAGGGCCATGTAGGAGCCAGTCAGGACGTTGTCGGCGACGGTTTGACGGAAGACTTCGACGCCGAGGACATCGGCGATGCTGTTGGTTTTGACATGTTAGCATGAGTGTGCAAAAATTGCATGTATGTGTGTGTAAGGGTATCACGGGCATACATTTCTTCGGTTTCCCGCTCGAGATCCGGGTGGATCAGCGCGACATGGTCATTACAGCAGATGACGTTCCCCAGAGCCGAAAGACGTTCCTCTATACGTTGAATCTTCACCGAATCGGGTAGCGTATTCCGGAGATGTTGAAGCTCTTGGTCTGTCGTGGTGGTGGGGACGAGGAGACCATTGCGGTTTCTGATATTGGGCGAAAGATAGTCAGTGGATTTTGATACGGGAGATCAATTTGAGTCCGGGCCTAGACATACCCTGCCGTCAGACGGCCAACAATGCGGGTTCCAGCGATGGTTGCGTGGCAGATGGGAATGACATCTTGCAATTCGGCCTCGAATACACTAAATGGAGCGTTAATGGGACTGGGTTGTGGTTCTGGCAGGAACGGGTATATATATATGCACCTGTAGAAGTTCTCGGAGGCGCCAATGGCAACAATAGCGTAGGAGTTGGTGAGACGGGAGAAAACACCGACCCTAGAAAACAAATATGCATTAGTAAAAGGGTCCAGAAGCTGCGAGGTCTGGGCTGCATGGTCAAGCAGGCCAGCAGAAAATTCTCCGGGGTGCGTCTCACTCGTTGGAGTTCTCGAACTGCGCGCGGACGGCCATAATTCCTTCTGTCGGAGTCGGAGTACTAGTGGTGGAAATAGTGAAGTTTGGAGAATTCTAGGTCTTGCGCTTCGAGAGAGCGAGGAAGGTGATCGAGTGCCCGTGAAAGGGAAAGAGATCGCTGGGAGGAGAGAGAGAGAGATTCGAAGTGGTGAAGGCGGGGTGAGGGCGAGGCAGAGCCTGTCGGGAAGAGGTTCGTGGCGGGGAAAACGGCGAGAAAGGAACACAAAGTGCTAGAACAGGACTTTGCGACTCGCAATTGACGAGAGACGGGACTCGATCAGGCAAAAGATGCAGGCAAATTAAAGAGCACAGCAGGGTCGTGAACCGCAGTGATGGAGGAAAAGCCCGAGGAAATAAAAAGCTTCGAGCGATAGCCCCGCCTATGGCACTAGTCCCAATCGGGGTGGAAGGCGGCGACCGGGCAGAACCAGTCATGAGTCAGCAAACAGCATCAGTCATCATATCCCCCCGTCGACTCATCGCCAGCAAGACATGAGCCATTATGATTCATCCTCCGGTGGGTCTAGATTCCCCTCCCCAGTAACTACTAGACCCAGCCCCCTTTACATAGTTAACACCGCCGCATAGTACGGTTCCCCACTCCGGGTGAGAAGAGACGTGAGATCAAGAAGGACGAACTCAATAAAATCAAAATTAGAAATCATGTTTATGAAGAGAAGATCCTAACCACTCAACGCCTAAGGGGAATCCTCCGTAGCTAAATACATAACCAGTCGCTAGGTAATCGAAAAGAGAAAAGGCCTTACATATCCCAACGAAGAAGTCTACTTCAAAACTCCGGGTGAGAATCCTAGCGCGAAAAGACAAATCAAGATAAGCCTGCGCGCACACTCATCCCCTTCCCGCTAAAAGGGGGGACGAGGCCCTGGGGGAGGTGGTGGAGGCGGCGGCGGATAATAAAGACTTGGGGGGTGGTGTCCCGTCATAAAACCGGGTAGGGGAGGTCGATGAAAGTTGGACCCCGGCGGAGGAGGAAGGTGAGGAGGCCCTCCCATGGAGGCAAAAGGATCAGGCAAGCCGAGCTGTTCGTTGATCGGGGGAATCTGTTGCCCCGCTGGAAGAAGACGACGGGGCTGTTGTCTCTGGGGGGTGGGTGGAGGCAGCACAAATGGTCGAGTTTCGGCAGGGCCGTGGGCCAATGGCGGCTGTGCAGGCTGGGGCAGGAGGGCTCGATGAGTCGAGAGGCGTGGAGCAGCTTGTGACAGGGGAGGGCGCGGAGGCTCCGCCGCAGCAATATCTGCCAGGGCTGACAATGCTCGGGGACGAAAGTCAGGCAGCACCACCGGAGGACTGATCTCTGCCGGTACTGTGTTGCGAGGAACTTCAACAACCCCGGTCGCTTTCACCAACATATCGAGAATCTGTTCAGCGGTCATGCCGGCAAAAGGGCCTGCGTCCCGGATCTCCTTCATCTGCGGATCGATGTCGTCGCCCACCTTGGCCCGCTGAACGAAGTCGTCCCAGCCAAAGTAAGCACGATCGTAGAGGGCTGCCCCAGAAGGATTCCGAACATAGTTGGAGTTGAAGCCTCTGAACACTTCCCTGGCGGGTGGTACCACTCGTCCGCGCTCCGGCTCGGTTTCGGAATCATCAGTCTGCAGTGTAACGTTAGTAGCCATTCCTGGTTCCGAGCACCGGATTTTATACGTACCTCAGTATGCTCATCATCTTCCGCGGCACGGCGGCCTTCGACAAAAGTCATATACGCCCCTTGACTGGCCAGCAGGTGCTCTTCGCGAATATTGCAGGCTTGGGCCTATTGTTCGTTGGTTGTCAGGAGCCCGTCTAATGAAAGGAATAAGCGTCATAACTCACCCGATATCGCTCCTCAATAGCTTGCTTGTTGGCCTCGAATAGCCGGTGCTCCTGCGCCACCTTGAGTTCGTATTCCCGGCGTAAAACCTCCTTCCGTCCATTTAGTCTCTCCTTCAACTGCATATTGACTTCTTCAAACTCTGGCACGTTCTTATGCGCGTTCTTATCGCGGGCCAGTCGCTTCTCAGACTGCGTGGCTAGCACTGCCAGCGCCAGCCGCTGAGCAGCAGCCACTTTCTTGAAGGCCTTATCCAACTCCCGTTGCCTGTCCCGCAGCTTCTGGGTAGCTGCACTTGGGGAAGGAGAGCGGTCAGGCTCCACATCGCTCGAGCGATCCAGTTGTCGACCGGTGCGACCACCACGACCACTGCGTGCGGCGCCTCGTCCTCGTTTGTTCACTGCGAAACGCGCTGAGCCGCGACTCCGTCCACCACGACCGCGGCCTCGAGTGCGTCCACCACGGGTTGGTTTACCGGCCGTCGACTCCGTGGCTACCTCTGGCGTTGATCCTTCAATCTCTTCAGTCACCTGGCGAGAGTCGTAGTCAATTCTCGAGTCGGCCACGGCCTCAGCGGGGGACCGTGATGCCGGATTACCACCGGTGCCATTCTGCAATTGCTGATCTAATGCGTGCTCCAACTCGCCCTCTTCCACTTTAGGCTTCTTGCTAGGGGATTCCGAGACACTCTCGCTCCCAGCCGCACCAGTATCTTCTGGTTGAGATGACGACTTAGGCTTCTCGGATGCCTCTGGACTTGGGGTGGTCGCTGTATTCTGACGATCAGCAGTCTCAGGGGCTGCCGGTTCAGTGACACCACTCTTGTCTTCATCAACAACGGTGCCCTTTGGTGACTCTTCCTTCGTAAAAAGATGAAGGTCTGGCACGATGCTCTGAGGCTCATCTTGCGGTGGCCTGGGTTGCTCAGCCGGTACAGGAGTGGTCCTGTCTGGTGAAGGAGACTTGACCGCAGGAGCAGTAGAAGTAGCATTGTGAGTAGTGTCAATGATATTGTCAGCGAATTGCCGGCTTCTATTTCTCGTTCTGGTACTCGGGGCAGCAGTGGTAGAAGGGCTCGGCTCTGAGGATTTCGGGACGATGCCCTGATCGTTAGAACCATCTTCAGCTGATGTTGGAAGCACATGGGCCCTGAGTCTCGCCGACTGCCTCGTAGTCCGAGGAGTCTCTTCAACCGTCGGGCCCCGCTTGACGCGCTTGTGCCGAGGGGTTTCTGGAACGGCTGTTACTGGCGTTTCAGGTTGGGCAGTGGCCAACTGGGCGCTTGCGCGAGTCCGAGTATTACGGGTTTCGCGAGCGGTGTTTTCACGAGCTACATTTTCACGCGCTGCACTCTCACGGAGCGCCGCTTCGCGAGCTGCATTCTCTGCGGCAGTATTGGCTCGAGCAGCACGAGTGCTGAGCGTGATAATACGTGATGGGCGATTGGTGTTGTTTCTTAGATGATTGTTGCTGTTCCCAGCCGTAGCAGCAGTGTTGCTGGGGGCTCTAACATCATGTTGAGAGGCACGCGCATCTCGACTCGAACGTAAACTCCGAGTCACACGAACAGATGAAAAATCATCATTTGTGGAGTCTGGGGAGCCATAAGAATCTGCTGCGATAGCTGGAAGGGGGTAAAAACTTACTAGTATTGTTCTGGGAAGCCCCTGCGCCAGCGTGACCACCAGAGGATGTAGCTGAGGCTTGGGTAGCTTCAAGTTTACGCTTGACCCCCGCCATTGCTGTCCACTATCTAGTTGAGAATTCGGTTAGAGGTAAGGATGCGTGAACGAGTCGAGCAAATGGGGTGGAGGGGCAATGGAAAGAAACAAGACGAATAACACCGTCAGATATGAGGATCCACTTCTGAGAATCAACGTTTTAGGGGAAGACAGGAACAGACAACAAGGCTGTTGAGATGCAGTCGTTGATGGAAACACAATGATAAGATGAGGCAAAAATGCAAGATCTTCAGGCAAGCAACGCCAAAAGGGCAAGCAGTGAAGTGGGTCACGCGAAGTAGATGAGAAAGCAGGAGAGAAAAATAAAAACAAGGAAAAGACGTATGTCAAGCAGGCCCCATTTAGATCAAGTAGGAACTGCAAGAAGATCAGGGAAGGGATGCAGGCATTAACTATCTTGAACGGTGAAAGGCCATGCTAAGCGACATGGGTACGTGTGGTTGAGAAAGGGAATGGGAAAACGGTGAAAGAGCCAGACGTATGGTACATTGGTTGGAATAAAGTTAAGGATGGGGATATGCTGGGGGGAGAGGACGCATCAGGAAGTACAGGGAAGAAAAGGGCGGAGGATGGCAGCCAGGCAAAAGGCCGAGATGAGACGAGAGGTATGTGACGATGGAAACGTGCCGGGAGGATCGCTTCCCAAGGAAAAAGCTGGGGGTCGCGTGGTTGCGGGAAGGAGAGCAGAAACAGAAAAGTAAAACGGGGGAACAATCGGGCAAGAAATGGGGGAGATGAGGAGGGAAGAGGATGAGAACATACCTGAGGGGGGGGAGGGAATAAGGAAAAATTCCTCCTCGGAGCGTGGAACAGCAAGCAGCGTGAAGGTAGGAAGAAGTAGTAGATTGATTGAATGAATCCCCAGGCGGGAACGCGAGGGTAGTAAAGTCGAGATAGTAGTAGTAGTAGTCAAATGGAGATTGGAGAGGGAATGAAGTAAAGAGAGGTTCGGCCAAGTGGATCAAGTGAGCGAAGCAAGAAAAGCTACCCGCTGTTTGGTTGGTTGGTTGGCGGGCCTGGCAGAGAGAGACTGTCAAGAGGGAGTGAGAAAGGAAGAGAGAAGAGAGAACAGAAGAGAGGAGAAGCCCGTCAGTACAAGGACGAACTTCGCCGGATGTAGAAGTAGTAAAAAGTAGAAAGTAGTAGTTAAAAAGGTTGGTTGGTTTAGTGAGGTAGCAACAGCAAGCAGAAACAGCAGCTCCAGCTTGTCGTCGTCGTCGTCGTAGTAGTAGTAGTAGTAGTAGTAGCAGCAGCAGTAACTACGGTCTACCAGAACGATCGATCCCCCAGCAATTGATGGAGCTTTCGGGTGGTTGATCCCAAAAGTTGATCTTCATGCGCGGGCAGAGAAAGTCCGGTGATGTTTCGTAGAGCAGCGAAAAGGAAAAGGAAACCCCAGGAAACGAAAAGGGAGGGAAAGA